AATTCATTTCATTGTAGAAAGTTTAATAAATTCACATTCACTGATTATTACTTCACAAGGTTGGTACTTAAGTCACGGAACCGGGCATTACACACGGCACGTGTGAAGGAAGCCATTCAACTGTTCACCCGACTACCAAGTGGTGCGCCGTTAGAACGGTCACGGCGCCGGGTTTTGTAGTGGGAAGACACGGTGACTTCACGGTAGACCGTTACCGTATAGACGGCACTGGTGCGTGTGAAAGCTCTCGTATAATCTTCGACCTTTAACCGTGTAAACGGAGCCGTTTGGACGGTCGCCGTGTATGTGTGAAACGGGCCTAACTCTAGCGTTTTCACTCGAACGGCTTACTCATCATCCTGATGATGGAGGCAGCAAGGACCTCTAAAACGTCGGTAAACTTCTACCAAAAACCCAGAAGACAGCCATCTTCAGACTCGAGACCGTGAAAATCTCAAATCCTATACACGAGGCATGAGACTTTATCAAACACAAATCTGACATGGAACAGAATCTGATATTATTCTGACGTTCGCCTAAGGAACACCCGAAATTCTAAATTATGTTCGGTGTCAGATACAATACTAAGAAATACCTATTACATTTACACAACAATAACATCGCTACGTGCCAATTTTGTAAGCATCTCCTTTGCTGGACGACAGTCGCCAGAAGCCGATTATGTCTACGTCACCTGACGACTGTAACGTATTATACTAGGCTTAAACGACGACACGCTTCGCCCTATTTTAAGTACAGATGACACAGCGCATTAATATACCATTTTTAATACGTTACATAAGAAATTAAACGCAGATAATAATAAGCTATACATTAGCTGCAGGGTCGGCAACCATACGCACCACAAAATAATCGAAGACGTGCGTATAAAATTAATTCTATGCTGTAAGAACATTCAGGCATTAATTAATTTTAATAATATTTAATAAGCATATAAGAAATACACCACAAACTAAACCAACTCTACGCCACAGTGTGGTTCTTGAGAAGCTAATAGTCTATTATAAATTCTCCGCACTTTATGTAACCCTAAAATTCATTATCGTGTCCAAAAGTGACTGCCCTAATGCAATGGCCTCATTCAATTCAGAATCAATTGTATTTCTTCTGAACCTGCGAATCTTTCAGATTTTTACGTCTCCTTGGACACGGATCACCCAATCGCAAGGCTTAATCTCTAATTAATTTACGTGTAAGCGTTATTAAAATAAATAAAGAGTACCCGCTATTTCATGATGACAATTTTATTTTCATTCGGCACTGCAATTCATTTGAGGACGGCTGTCTTGTAGGCTGTTTCAGAGGTCCTTGGTGCCTCCATCATCAGGGCTATGAACCTGATGATGGAGGCTGCAAGGGCTTCTGCAGTGTTAATAAACTTCCACCAGACTACACGGCGTTACAACACTCAAGAGAGTCGTCCTCAGGGGTCATCGCTCTGATGATGGGAATGTTTCTCCGAAGCGATGGTATTTACCTACACGGCGTTTACAGCCCAGAAGAACATAATCGACGCGAGAACCTCAAATCCCATGACTAATCTCTCTACCTGTCCGGAATATTACGTTAATCGTAACCGAAATATTAAAGAACAGAAAATGAATATGAGGTCAAGTGTGGAATTGCAAACGGGAAATAGAATAGAGATTTGTAGCTGCTCACATGCAAGTCGGGGTGCACGAAACTGGAGTCGTGTGCCAAAATTAGGTGGAAATGGCGGCCAAATGCTGCGAACTCGTACTGAGGATGAGGGTCCCATAACAGCGCCATTTTGTGCCGAAAATGGCCGGAATGGTGTCGCAAAGGTGGCTGGTGGGCTGAAAAAATACAAACATACATGAAATAAATACACAACACTTCATCGTGTAAGATTTGAGGTTTTCACAGCGGCGAGTATGAAGATTTCTGTCCTCTGGGTCGTTGCGCCGTGTAGTCGATGTTAACCAACGTTTCAGAGGTCATACTGCCTCCATCATCAGGGCGATGAATGTTCATGAAACGTTGGCTAACATCAACCAGACTACACGGCGCAACAACCCAGAAGACAGAAATCTTCATACTCTGATGACGGAGGCAGTATGACCTGTGAAACGTCGGTTAACATCGACCAGACTACACAGCGCAACAACCCAGAAGACAGAAATCTTCATACTCATCGTCCTGATGACGGAGGCAGTATGACCTCTGAAACGTCGGTTAACATCGACCAGACTACACAGCGCAAGAAGACAGAAGAATCTTCACTTCATCGTGTTTTAAAACGGCCCACAACAACTTCCTTTCAAATTCCATCTAATTCATTTTTCACAACAATGCAGAAAATCGATGCCCTAAAACAAAAACCGGATATGCGTAAAGAAGAAATCAGCGGCTTCTTATGTTACCTGGCTGTGAATGGACATACAAAATTTCTTTTTTATTTTTAAGAAAAATACCGACAACAGCTACTGTGGCATACGTCACAAAACCAAACAAACTTTAGGACGGCCCGGGCTGAGCTGCTTATTTCTACTGAATTCCACCCGATGTCAAAATGTGGAACAAATCACGTATCGCCACTTTCACTGCCCACTGGATGATAGATGTGTTGACCGCTTTTTCACGAAGGAATCTGGGCAATGCTTTGTAAGAAAGCGCTCCTATATTTGTGGCAGGCATTAATAAACAAAAGCCTGTAATAACCACCAACTCTTTTATAGAGATGCTGTGTAATAAATTCCGAGTCTGGACTTCGTTAACTATTCGTTTTCAGAGAATTCCAATTAAAGTAATGGCATAATTTCCTTTAATCTTTTTTGTTTATGGCTAGACATAGAAGAAATTGTAAAACTATCTGGAAAGGGAGTTCCATTTCAGAATTTGATGACCATTTAAGAAAGAACAGAACACGAGCTGCTTATTACAATAATTTCATATCTTCTGTGGAATGATTTTTAAATGTGTGGATATGAAAATTATATTTTTAATACTCGTTCAAAGCTTGAAGGAAAACAGGACACTTGGCTTATAATTTATGCGCATGTTGTTTATAAATTCCAGTATGAAGTTTCACGAACATAAACATACTGATGAAGAGGATACTGGACAGGACACGATGATCCTCATTTTCGATCGGCAAAGATGCATGGGTGACTTACTCTGGCTTACGTCGTGATTGCGTCCATCCCTTGCCGTTGGCTGTGTAGTGTGCGACGTAACTGGAGATGTGAATGCCCATTGGTCACCACCATACAGCAAATCCTGTTCGTGTAGAGGAAGTGGTGATATCTTCACCGGCTTCACGTACTCTACTTGGGGTTTCGGTTTCAGATTCATCATCGGGACATCGTCTTCCCCGTCAATACTCAGTTTTCTCGCTTTCGTCCGATCTGAAATCAAAAAGCAGAACTGACATCAGAAGAGGCACAGATTTCTCTACTTCATAACCCCTAAGCTCTGAGTTCAGTGTATGACTGATCTGCTGAAAAAAATGTTTCAGATACAGTGCATCATCAAAGATCATTCGACAGTTCAAAGAGATTTCAATGTAGATAACAGGTAGGAAGACACTTAAAGACTCCGTGACAATATTTAGCGTCGTTAACACAAACATCTCAACGGGTTGGGTGCGTGTCATGCACACTTCGGTGTGATGTTGCTTTGTTCCAGTCGTCGAAAATGAAGAAAATTATAATTGTTTATTTTAACCGTCTAATCACAATAAAATATTTTATTGTGATTAGACGGTTAAAATAAACAATTATAATCATCACAATATGACGCAACAATATCATCTCTGAAGAAAATTACGTAATAAGCAGTTTCTTAATTTGCACTGTTCACCGAAATCATTTAGGTGATCAGATAAATGGGGATGTACAGGGAACATAAAAGGCGCGAGAAATACGTACAAAATTTTTGGTCACTTGGGAGACCTAGGCGTGTGGGAAAATAACAGCATCTTTAAAATGTAATATTATATTTGTCTAAAAGTAATATTTAGGTACTTCAACTAGATGAGGGTTCAGATGAATGGAGAGGTTGTTCTGAACTCGGGTTCCATAAAAGGCAAGACATTTCTTGACCAGCTTAGCTACTATTCTCAAGGACACTGTTCCATGCAGTTAGTTCGTTGTTAGCAGCTCGACAGTGCAATAATAACGGGAACGCCACTATAAACTACACACCAGTTGCAGATACCGCGCAATGCAAGTCGCTTAAGTAGTAACTTCGTGTAGCCTTGCGCATTGATACTAACATCCATCCGAAACGTTTACAACCATGTAAGAATAGTGTGCGAAATTTATTTACACCTCAAATGAACGTTTTATCAAACCAGAGTCTACTGTCAATAGCAGTGTATTTCCGTCTTAAAGAGTTATTGTCTTTGCAAACTTCTTGGCAAAGTGACATAGCAGAAGTGGACCATGACCTATTGCTCTTCGCCTTATGGAACCCGATATTTATGTCACAGAACCAATTCCTTTTTTGAAACATGACGGAACAATAACGATTCATTCGTTTCCTGATTGCTACTACCTTCGAGGAAAAGTTAAGTGGTCATGGTAAACAGCACAAATCTGAGACAGGAAAGCTCGAATGTCAGATGCCAACGGTTCTGAAGCAGAAATTGGCTGTGACCCTTTGACGTGCGCATTTTAAAACAGTGGTGTTCAACCTAGGGGTACGCGAAGACATCTTAGGGGGTACGTGAAATTTTTTTTAAATATATATTATTTTATGATAAACACTGAATAATCAGTAATGTAATTTATTTAATTTATTTTAGATGT